CGGAGTGGAGTCGGGGTCAATCAATTCAATTCTTTGACATAAGTTGAACCTAACCTATTTTATTTGTTATCTGCCCTAATAAAAATAAATAAATTAAAATAAAACAAATTTCAGTAAGAGATTATTTACTATGGTATTTTCTGGTTTTTCATAAAATGGACTTATATTTAATGTACACGCCCAAACCCTAGTTTCGGGATTTGACACCGGAAGGCGCTCGGCTCGGTACCATACCGGTTGTGACGTTCGGGTGAGCAGAGTGGCTTTGGTAGAGGGCGCGAGCGCAGAAAGTCAGTTGCTCGAATGCAGTGCTATCGATAGCACGTCGTGAAGTCGGTTTTGTTAGCAAATGGTGCAACGACGAGGAATTGTAGTCTAGAATTAGACGCTGGTTTGACAAATTGTTAGGAAGTTAACATTGATTGCGATCAACGTCTGAATTTGTGGGTTGTGCGCGCTTAATTTACCGCGAATTTGGTTATTCTAATTTGATAGCGTATATAAGTGCATTTGACAAAATTAATTTGCTCGTGCGGCATTTGATATAGTTCGGAGACATTTTCCGTTGTCGGTTGAACGTCGAACTTCGTGACACTAGAGAAGGTCGTGTTAGGTTCTAGAAATAATTGTTGCCACGCGAAACGGAAGTGACCTTTGATCCGAACATTCGGTATTCGCGTTGTGTGTTACGCTTTATAATAAACGGGAGTTAGTTGCGTCTGGAAGTTAGTTAATTGTACGATAAAGTTAATAGACTGACATCGTGAAGAAGAAAGAAAGTGACTGTGGGTGGTGCCGCTGGAGATTGCCACAATTTGGAGCGGTGCCGAAGTCCGGGCTGCTGCCGACTTCAACGGTCCAGTCAGGTCTATCACAACCCACACCACAAAAACACCACTACACGCAGCACATACACACCTCCGGCCTGACCGAGCCCTGAGACAGTCGTCGCCTCAGATACAGGTAAGTACTCTCTCCTGTGTGATCGACCTTTGTCGGGACAGCTAGGGGCGTGTACATTTACATTATGTAGTATAAATACAAACATGAAACATAATATCGTTATTTTAGAAATCGACTTTTTGTGAAGCGATACATCAGCTTACGATTCGAATCGATTTCAAAATCGATCTTTTTCGGAAAGAATCGACATCCCTACCTACGACAATGACGATGTCAATACAAAATAGTCTGAGTTTTTCCGTAGGAATTGACATATATTTGCAAAAATAATGGTTTTTCGATAATTTTATTTCTCAAAAAGTACGCGTTTCCGCATATTGAAACTTTGCAAAACGCTTTCTTTTAGTGAGTACTATCTAAAAAAATAATATGGGCATTTAAATCGATGGTCCATATTGGAAAGTTTATCCATAAAGTCCAAGCACTTGTTTCTTTGACCTTCCTTATATATTACTATACTCTTTGTCTTTGACCTTCGTCTGACTCTTCTCTGTTACTTGCACAATTGGGAATGCAAAACTTAAAAATACATTTTAAAACTAAAAATTATATACAAAATACACTAAAGCTAAACAAAATGTCCCGTCGAAATATATAACCTATTAAACAATAAACGCCCTTTCATAAAATAGTAGTAATATGCCAATAAAAAATTGTTTAGTTAGTTCATACTTCATAGTAAAAATTTCCAACTGACAGCTACGCTACAATAACATGCTAACACATGCTAACATGACTAAATGGCGGTAAAGGGAAGGGGCAAGAGGTGGGAGGGACGAGGGAAACGTCATGTAATGAATTGCTCACTGCATTTCATACGGTCAAAGATTACCAGCCGTACTAGCTTCTTATTTGTAATCAAAGAGTATAGTAACTGTTTCTAGGACAGTTACTATACTCTTTGGTAATTGTCCTATACAGGAATTGAGACCCCCCCCCCCCACCCCTCCACCCCAGCCTATAAATTTGGAGTATATACCTAAAAAAAATACTGGCAGACGTATTTTAAAGAGCACATCTCAAAAATATTAATTCTTGCATGCCGTAAGCGTCTAAGCGCGTCGGTATGTTCTACTAGGGCCTAAAAATTAAGATTCCAATGTTTTGTCGCATGAAATTGTATCTAGCAATCATATTGTACATGTAAATGATATAAAAAGCACATTGCCAGAAAAATAAATGATTGTTGAACTTGTTAATATATTTTTTTAAATCGATTAATTGCTAATTTTTAAATAAAAAAGGGGTTTTAGTGGTTTATGTTGTGGACGTATCAAATCCGCAAGGCTTGTAAACACGATAACTTTTGAAAATATCAATTGTTCAACTCAATATATTTTTAAAACTCTTCATCTATCATGTGGGAAGCCATTGAATGTAAATGACAGTTTAATTTTGTGTAGTATAGTTATAATAATTTTTTTTCGGTTGCGAAATGGCGAAATTTTCGTTTTATTCGGCAGCCTTGTATGAATAAATTATTACTAAATAGAGACTGCGTCACTCACTTAGTTCGGCGTCAGTCGCCGTCGTGAGTGGACATTGTTTCGGTTGTTTGCAGTGGCTCAACAAGATCGCTGTACAAATACACAATATTTGAATAATCAAATTTCTTAAATACTTGATTATAATAATAAAGAGACATTTTTTATTACAATATTTTAAAAGCATAGGAATAAATAATAGTAGTAGGTACTAAAAGTAAGTAGTATCAATTTTTGCGTTATGGGTATCATTTTCATGGTTTTCGAGGGTTTTGAAGCCGATAGGGTTGTCGAAATGTAAATCCAAGATGGCGGCTGCAATAGGTATCAATTGTTTCATCATGGGTGACATTTTCATGGTTTTCGCGGGTGTTGAAACCGATAGTGCTGTCGAAATGTAAATCCAAGATGACGGCTGCAATAGGTATCAATTTTTGCGTTATGGGTATCATTTTCATGGTTTTCGAAAGACTTGAAGTTGATAGTGCTGTCGAAATGTAAATCCAAGATGGCGACTGAATTAGGTATCAAGTTTTTCATCATGGGTGTAATTTTCATGGTTTTCGAGGGTGTTGAAGCCGATAGTGCTGTCGAAATGTAAATCCACGATGGCGGCTGCAATAGGTATCAATTTTTTCATCTTGGGTGTCATTTTAATGGTTTTCGAGAGAGTTGAAGCCGATAGGGATGTCGAAATGTAAATGCAAGATGGCGGCTGCAATAGGTATAATTTTTTTCATCGTGGGTGTCATTTTCATCGTTTTCGAGGATGTTGAAGCCGATAGTGCTGTCGAAATGTAAATCCAAAATGGCGGCTGCAATAGGTATCAATTTTTTCATCAAGGGTGTCATTTTCATGGTTTTCGCGGGTGTTGAAGCCGATAGTGCTGTAGAAATGTAAATCCAAGGTGGCGGCTGCAATAGGTATCAATTTTTCATAATGGGTATAATTTTCATGGGTTTCGAGGGTATTGAAGCCGATAATGCTGTCGAATGCTGTAATTTCACGGACTCTAGATAAACCTACTTCAACGTTAAGTATAACTTATTACTCAGATAAACCGCCACATGGCGATCACGCATCGTTAAACATTAAATTTCAAAACATTTTTGACGTTAAAGACGACTCGACACGATGATGAATTCGGTAACTGAGGAAAAACATTCTGTAGTAAGAGGAAATGCGGGCCGAGACTTGAAAATTAGGTATTGCATGCCATAAGCGCTAGGCGCGCCGGTATATTCTACTAGGGCCTAAAAATTAAGATTCCAATGCCTTGTCGCATGAAATCGTATCCTCACGAGTGACAACGCATCTGCATTTTGATTCGCAAACGAGGATAGATGTAAATGTCTATGGGCCACAGCAACCACTTACCATCAGGTGAACTGTGTGCTCGTTTGTCACCTATCCTATAAAAAATTTTTTTTCGGCTAAGAAATGGCGAAATTTTCAGTGTTTTTAACAGCCTTGTACTAATACATTTTACTAAATAGATAGTGTCTTACTTCGTCATTTCCGCAAAACATGCATATTATATAACTCGTCATTCCGGCCTCGGTCGCCGTCGTGAGTGGATACCGTATCGCATGTTTGCAGTGAAAAAGATCGCCGTAGAAATACGAAATATTCCAAAAACCAAACTTGATACATAGTTGACCGAGGAAAGATATTATTATTATTTTATTAATCACAGATTTTTATTAAAATATTTTGTTTCGCTAAAAGCACGCAGGATTATTTATATATAAATATATGTACTTATACGTCTTGGCCTTTATAGATCTGAAAGTGTACTTCGTTATCTGCTAATGGAACTACTCGACGAGGAGAACTAGATGTGCCGAGTTTGGGCTCATTTTGTTAGTTATGATGAGACTTTACCTTCGGACTTGATAGATGGACTTGAAAGTGTACTTTGATGACTGCTAATGGAACTCCTCAACGAGAAGAACTAGATTTGCCGAGTTTGGGCTCGTTTTGTTAGTTATGATAAGACCTTACCTCCGGACTAGATAGAGTGACTTGAAAGTATACTTTGATCACTGTAACTGGAATTCTTTGACGAATAAAACTACAAAATACACTCTCATATGAGCATTATGTGTCATGCCTATTACATGTCATCCACTTTTGGATTTTACAAACTTTTTTTTTTAAATTGAAGTTTGACATAAAATTATCGGAAAATTGGTAGTATAATAAGGTTATTAGTGAAAATATGTATGTATTTAAACTACTTTAAAAAATTCCGTATAATCATGTTATACGTAATTTTTTTAATGCGCTTAGGGCATGCCCAATTGGATTTATCAATTTTATTTGACTCTACTCTTTGATAAGTCAAATGTAGTTCATGTTGCCGCAAAATAAAATAAAACTATCTGGTAAAAAAAGTAAACGTAATCTGTGGTCAATGTTTTGATTTTGATTGCGAGCACAGGCACATTTTTGGAAATGGATAATTATTTGATTTTCTTTTATTATAATCGGAATCATCTTTACCCATTTGTATACTATTCTTAGATGTACTATTGATAATGTCTGTAATCATGGAAAACGCTAATTTTAGTGATAAAGTTGAAGTTTACTTTTCGGAACTTGGGCGATGGCAAGTTTCATTTTTAATGTGTTACAGTACCAATTATTCGAGTTACTAACACTAAAATATTAAATTTTTATTATTTTATTTCAGGAAAGTTTGGCGGAGTATAATATTGGGTCAGTTATTGTCGTTATTATTAAGCGGCAAATGTATACTAACAACTCTGCTTCAAAGTGCTACATGGCAATTTCCTACCACTGCTCAACTTGTTATTCCATACATATTATTATTCATTTTATTTACACCTTCTTTACTTTGCACTGACATGAAGAAATTGACTAAGTAAGTTCGTTTTTACAAATATACCTAAGTGTGGAAACTATTAATTATTATTTTCCTTTAGAAATAGATATCAAATTTTTGGATAAAATTAGTGTTCCTTATTAGGCCAGGGTTGTATCGCGTTTTCTGAGAATCGTATCTATATCAGATTTTGAATCTCAATATCTGATATCATAACTATATATTTCAATATCTAGATATTCTGTATACACATCTCCACTTACGCTGTTGAAACCAACTTCAAAAAGAGGAAGGTCTTTATTCGACCCGTATGTATTATGTATGTTTGCAATTTTCTGAATTCTAAAAAAAAACCAATTAAACAATTTTGATTATATTTTATTAACTTAATCTTCATAAAAGTCTCTTATTCCTTTTTGAAAATAGTTTTCATATGATATTGATTAAGTAGTTAAAAATAGTTAAATTAAAATAGTAGATATCATTACATACAGTGATACAGAGTCTTTATTGTTTATTTGCTACACAAAATGTATTTAAAATAATAAAAAGTGCAACTTTCTCCTTCCACCACATTTATTTAGGTAGATTAAAAAATAAATTGAAAATTCTAAATAAAATAATATAATATGCCCTCGATTTTAGGCTTTAAAAACAATAACATTTGAAATGTATCATTATTAGGCAACAGTAATTAAACTTTAATAACTATATTGCTCGTGCTGTGTCGCACATGGTGAATCTAGCCACCGACCGATGCAAATCAATATAGTCTTAATGGATAATGGTTATACACAAATATCAGATTTTGTAATACATAGTTTTCAAACGAACCAGTAAGCAGTTTTTAGATATTGTACCAATATATAGATTTTGAATCAGTATACGGTTTGCATCACCCACCTGTACTCCTTATATTTCTATTTTAGCCAACTTCAGAAAAGAAGAAGGTTCTCAATTTGACTATATGTTTTTAGTATGTATGATAGCTTTGGTAATTTTAAACTGATTTTAAAGTTTAGTTTTGATTAAACGGGTTATACTTCACAAGTGGTTTCAGGGTTCATCGTTTTAAATTTGGATATGTGGATATTTATTTTTCTGAAAAATAGGAAATTATATTTTTAATGTAATTATACAGACAACATTTTACTTCTTATATTGATTTTGAGATATTCCTAAATCCACTGAAAGCGGTCAAAAAACAATTAAAACCATAATAATAATAATAATGTTTATTGATAAACAAAATATGGTACACACTTATTATCTAATTCTTAAGATTAAACCATGTTTCATTTTTTTTTTCAGAATATGGTGGGTGCTTATAATAGCATGTACTCTAGATGTCGAAGCAAATTGGCTTCTAGTAATGTCGCAAAGGTTTACTTCAGTGTTAAGCTGACAACTGTTAGCATGTAGTGGTGTAGGAGCAGCCTTAGTGGGTGGTGCTTGGAGGGGACAGAGGCTGGGTGTAGTACATGTAGCAGGAGCTACTCTAGGCCTCATGGCTGTTGTTTGTGTTGTATGGGCTGATGTGGAAGGAGCCCCTACTGATGGTATGAATTTTCTCTAATTATTATATTACTTCTCTTTGAACATTTTTTTAGTATTTTTCAAAATAAATCTCATTTTGCTAGTTACAACAACTCCATTTATTATTTTTGAACTATGTTCCTGATTTTGTGAACCAGACTTTGTATATTTTATTTCTTCTTCAGGCTTTAACAGACCACTGCTGGACATGGGTCTGTCCTCTTATAAATCCCTAAAAATATATTGAATTATTGAAATACAAAATTTTACAAACTAATGGAATGATGGATTGACATGGCAATTTATTTTTATGATAGGTGACTAATTTTAATTAAAGTGTTTAATACTTTTTGGCATATATTAATTTCGTATATTTACACAGATATGTACAAACACCTCATAGTGGCAGTGTAAGAATATCCACTGCCCCATATCATCCTGTGGGTGTTGTAAGAGGCGACAGGATATGGTCAGCAGCATATTTCCAGTAATGACTTCAATTAAAAAACTGCAGTTGCTAATCCGTTTGCAAAGCGTGGGAACTATGGCAAATATCCCCCTTATGAAGTAATCTATGGGGAGGCCTATGTTCAGCAGTGGCCTTTAAAAGGCTGTAGCAGTACCACAAATAATAGAAATTTACTAGACATTTTATAGATTTTATCATTTTGCAACTGTCAAACTTTTTCCAGGTAAAAATCAGCTTGTGGGTGATATGCTTTGCTTAGCTGGGTCCTTGCTTTACGCAATGGTCACTGTTTTGCAAGAAATGATGCTCAGTGAACAATCTTGCTCAGAATATTTGGCCCTGTTGGGATTTATTGGAGGTGTGGTTGCATGCACACAGACATTTTTTCTTGAATTTAGCGAGCTACACACTTTCAACTGGTATGAGCTGGAAACAGTGGTGCAGTTAGGAAGCTACTGTGGACTGCAAACTGTGTTCCAAATTCTACAGAGCTTCATGCTTAGGGATGCGGGATCAATTGTACTGCACCTATCATTTCTTTCGGCGGATTATTACACCCTCATTGCAGGAATGTACATATTTCAGTTCAAGGTAAAGTTATAAGCTTTATTTTTGTATACTGAACTTAATCAGTTAAGTTGATAATATATTTTAAACCAGTTTGTCCATGATCATTTTTTTTTCTTCGACAATCAAGTGTCAATTGAAGTAACAGTAACAGCCTGTCTGATGGTAAGTGGGTGCTGCACCCTATCCACACCTACAAGAAACTTCAAAAAAAGAAAAAACTTGAAATTATCCTGGGTCTCAAATAAAGTATAATGTTTTCTTTATTTGAAAATTATTCAACACAATTTTAATGTTTAAAATTAGAAATTGTGCCTTAGAATATACTAATTTAAAAATTTAAATATTCCCTTTTTTTTTCAGTTTCATGCATTGTACTTCTTGTCGTATTTGCTCGCAATGATAGGAGTGTTTCTATTCACTGCAAGGTCGACACGTCCGCCGTCGTGCCCAGAAGTTTTGCCGCAACTTGTAAACAATGCCGTTCACTCTCAAGATAATGTATCATTGTAAGGATAATATTTTTTATAATGATATTGCATTAAAAAAAATATAGCACATTCAAAATTGATCTACATTGAATACTTAAGTTGACTGTATAGCATAGCAACTGGCTACTACGCTGCAGGTTCAAACCGTTCTCACCCTGAGTGTTTTGGATACTGCAATCGAAACTAGCCAATCTTAATTTTTACATCAAATAGGGTAAGTTCGAATGGTGGAATGCCTCGGTGTTTGTGCGTGGCACTATAATATGTCCTGCGCAGTTGAAAGCTTCGGGTTCGAATCCCGCACGGGACAAGTATTTGTATGGCCTATAATTAATTGTACTGGGTCTGGATTTTTTTCCTTGTAAAATTTATGTATATAAACTGCCCCAATGATATAGGGGAAAATCTTAGTGTGGAGGTAACTGTTACTGTTACAGCCTAGAGTCCATTGCTGAACATAGGCACATAGGAAATTTGCCATAGTTGCCACGCTTGGCTAGCGGATTGGCAACCGCAGTTTATTTATTTTTTTAGTTGTTATTAGGAAGGCACTGCTGCCCATCTCCTGATTTAGTTCTCTCTGTCACTTTTTATGACACCCACGGGAAGATATGGGGTAGTGGATATTCTTAACCGCCACTACACGGCTGATTTCGAGAGTCCTTACGAATCGTCTCGCGCAGACTTGACGACTTCCAGCCTCCCGAACAAGCTGGTTTCCGAAAGGGCTTTAGCACCATAGACCACATACATACCCTTCGGCAAATTGTACAGAAGTCCGAAGAGTACAATTTGCCACTAGATCTGGCGTATGTGGACTATGAGAAAGCCTTTGATTCCGTTGAAATTTGGGCGGTGCTGCAGTCCCTTCAGCAGTGCCAAGTTGACTGTCTGTATATCGAAGTGCTGAAGTGTTTGTACAGTAGAGCTACGATGGCTATCCGAGTACAGAACCAGAGTACGAAACCTATCCAATTGCAGAGAGGTGTAAGACAGGGTGATGTTATATCCATGAAACTCTTCACCGCTGCATTGGAAGACGTTTTCAAGCTTCTGGACTGGAAAGGATACGATATTAACATCAATGGCGAGTACATCACTCACCTTCGGTTTGCCGACGATATAGTCCTTATGGCAGAATCGCTGGAGGACCTAAGCACCATGCTCAATGACCTCAATAGTGTCTCTCAACGAATAGGTCTTAGGATGAACATGGGCAAAACAAAGATCATGTTTAATGTCCATGTCACACCTATGTCGGTAGTTGTCGGGAGCACTAAGTTCGAAGTTGTTGACAAGTATGTTTACCTGGGACAAATAGTCCGAATAGGTAAGTCCAACTTCGAACCGAGAGGTCAATCGACGGATTCAACGCGGCTGGGCAGCGTTCGGGAAGCTACGACACATCTTCTCGTCAGACATACCTCAAAACCTTAAAACGAAATTGTACAACCAGTGCGTGTTGCCAGTGATGACTTACGGATCTGAGACTGCTGGCCGTATGAGGAAGCTCAAGGTCGCTCAGCGAGCTATGGAGAGGGCTATGCTCGGGGTTTCTCTTAACTTAACTTAACTTAGAAATGAGGATATCCGCAGTAGAACCAGAGTATCCGACATAGCCCAACGGATTAGTAAACTGAAGTGGCAGTGGGCCGGCCATATAGCTCGAAGAACCGACAACCGATGGGGAAGAAAGGTTCTTGAGTGGCAGCCTCGTACCGGTAGGCCAAGTGTAGGGCGACCCCCCACGAGATGGAGTGACGACCTGATAAGACATGCAGGAAGTCGATGGATGCAGGTGGCTCAGGACCGTGCTTTGTGGCATTCCTTGGGGGATGCCTATGTTCAGCAGTGGAGTTATGAAAGGCTGTGATGATGATGATGATGATGATTCCGTGAGATCGTGGTCCTTCCCCGGTCGAGCCGACCCTTTCGCGCTACAACTATACCTACTACTAATATAGCTGCAGCATGGATCTACCACGTAAGAAGTAAACTTAAAAAAAGCAATCATCCCGCTGGGCACCCGAATATAACGAATTATGTCCTGCAGACCAATTTTCAGTCACCAAGGTCAGTCTTAACGGAGACAAGACATCTGCGTAGGACAGAATTATAGCGCACGAGTGTGTGCGCAAACCGACACATTTTCTATTCCCTCGCTCCCCTAGTCCGATGCAATGGCAATCCGACAGGACCGGAGATTATTAGACGCAGGACCAACATCTTTACAGCTGACTCAAGGCTGCTCCTGAGAATTTCTTGACAGAAACTCAATGACTGATTTTTTTTTTCCCCACTTGGGGAACCACATGTTCAGTAGTCGCGAGACCTAGAATTATGAGACAAAGCTGAATAATCAATGTAACAACAGTAATAGAGCTACTTACTACCTACTCTTTAAACTAACAATATTGGATTTAATCACAACCTTATTTTTAAACTGTACATTCTTCTAAAATGACCTAAATTAATGGAAGAGTGTTCCTCTCTGATACAGGCTCATTAGCTTAAAAGGGCGCTACGTTCACTAATATAATATAATGTACCCATTGTTTTGAAATAAATATTTATTATTATTTATTATTAATCACAACATAATATTAGTAGATTTACACTTGATATTCCAGACAAGAAGTATTGGTCTTGAGCAGGCGGCAAGTATGATTTCGTCGTTTTTTCCCCCTCATTTCTTGGCCTGCACGGTTTGTGCGTCAGCCATATCTTCCAGTTTTCAATGTATAATTATCCTTCATAGTACACTGCTTCACAATATGTTGATGCGTCACATTGTGCAGTCCTTGGGAGATTTTGACAGCAACTTGAGCCAGCAGACAGTTGGAAATGGTATCTCAAGGCGTCTAAGCAGACAACCTTATCTTAAGAATCACATCACCATTATAGCACTTGTTTCACCGTGTCCACTAATAGTTCACATGCGTAGACAATACACAAAATCGCACTACTTTTACATATCAAAGTCCACTTCAAACCATTATTTAAGCAATAATACAGGAGCAGCAAACCGCCGCCGGTCAAGTTCCCGCCAAAACTCCTTTCGTCTTTTTCATGGTCGTTGGTTTTTTTAACCTACCCACCTGTTACTACACTGATTGTATGGCCTATAAAATAATATTAGACCTCAAACAACTTAGGTATTCATGTCAAACCCCACAGTAAAAGAGAAAATCCTAGTGTGATGATGATTAAAAACATAGACGCCATAATACAGCTCTTTTATTTAACAGAAAAAAAAATATGGGAGAATTTTTTTCACTTAAATATAAAGGTTTGTATGGTTTAAATTTCTTCAATATTTACATTTATTATCGTCTTCCTACTGACGAAATCGTCTGCCTACTTAGTCAACACCAATGTAAGATGAGCTGCCAAGTGTGTCAACTATGGCAAATATCACCCTTATGAGGCATTCTATGGAGCGGCCTATGTTCAATGGACTTTGATAGTCTGTAATTAATGAATGATAATACAAAACATTTCTTTTTTTAGGGAATACACTGTGCCAACACTGGATTGTATACCTATAGAGGGCTTGGAGCCGCCAATGAGCAGAGACACGACATTCACGTCGTTCCTTGGAGGCCCACAAAACAGTATACCCAATGGTAACATAATTTCGGAACAAACAACTGCAACACAAAATACTACTAAGGACTCCTCTTAATGACATGTACTTTATAGAGTATTTGTTAAATAAATCAAAGGTAGTTAAACACTTCAAATTTAAAAAGGATAAATTATTTACGACGTAATATAGAAAAAATTGCAAGACCAAAAACTTCTTTTTGCTAGTGTCTATCATTAATTATGTAGATATGTGTGCAGGAATTTATGACTAGCACTTTCACTATCCGGTTTTCAGACACAATAGTAAGACAATAGCAATGACCCATATGTGGTGCACGGATCAGCGAAAGGGTTTAACTTAACCCTTTGTTAGTCCTTGTAGCCTGAAACTTAACTTGGCAATTTAACTCATTTTTGCTTAAAATAAATGTAGGGAAAAAAATTTGAAAAATATTTGCATATAATTGCAGTTGAAAAATTAGTTTATAAGGCCCATATATAGATGTGTTGTAAAACTGACCTCTTTTGGATTGTTTCATTGATAACTAACTTGTTTAAATTTTGATGGCACAACTTAAATTTCACCTGCAACCATTTATGATTAATAAATAATTAACTAGACAAAAGCTAGAGGTAAACAATTAAAATTAGTCATTTAGAATCTATAACTAGCATGCATTAATAAGAACTTGTCAGTAATCCATATTGTATTATAAAATGGGGACCGTATTACACATATATAGGGGTTATAAACAATGCCTATCTAAAAATAATCTTTAAAACGAAAAATAAACAGTTTTGAAACTTTACAAATATTCTTAAAATTTTGAGGCATTTAACATATGGAAATTCTTGCTTGGTCAGTAAGTACTAGTAGCGTTTATTGTCCAAAAAAATCATTCTTTTGTACTCCGCACAATTCTATTAGCCACAATGATATACTAGAACGAAACGTAACTTAATAAAACAGCTTTCATGTGCTAAAAAAGAATAATAGACAACGATAGAAGTGGGCTTGTAGAAGTTTAGAAACTTTCTGACAAACCCCAAAGTTAAAAGGTATAATATAATAACTGACGTAGGTAGAAAATTGATAATGGAGTCTTTATATTATTTAATAAGGGAAAAGGTTAGACTGGCAATTCGAATAAATAACAGCATGATTCGTATACACAAAATTTACCCGTCTCTGACTTTTAACGCACTTCACTTGTCGAGCATTTGTTGGCGCATAATCTTGTCTACACTTCACGATTTTCATCTGTTTGGACACTGAATTGTCTTTCGCTTGTTGTAAAATCAGTAGCGTAGCATAGGTTTTTAACGCCCGGGACCGTTAGAGCCGAAAATGCTGCCTGTTATTATGCCACTCCCACCCTTACTTAACATGTAAATATATGTTATCTTGTTTTGTAAGTATATTGAACACCCTCCTCAGGTATGTGAGCAGATTATCTCTATTTATATAACTGTTAAATGTATAGAACTAATTACATGTTCGTTATATTTTAATCAAATTATTCAGTAAATGGTATTTTACAGATTGTTACTTTTACCGTCATTATTTAAGAAATTAAGGCTGTACGTTCTTCTCAAAATGACTCTGCCAAATCACTGCCCCATGTACACGATACTATGGCAATCTTTAAATGGATGCCTACGTTCTGATAGTTAAATTTACTATTCACAAGGCAATGTTACATAAACATGAGCGAGGGCTTCATAAAATTGTCTTTTGTTGGGATATGGTTCTATAGTCGGACATTCTGTATATCTTTAGTAGATAATGACAGAAGCTTTCAAAATCTGTTTATATAGGGTTATTTTTCAAAGAGTAGGTAGCCAAATTTTAAACTTATTTATGGGCAACAACGTTTTTGCCCACCGATCGACCCTTATGCCTAGGCCACACACATCGCGATAGAATTCCGGCGATAAAACTTCGCCTTCGGCCAATGGCGAAGGTACCTTGCCACACTTCGCGTTATAAACTTTATCGCGATAAACACACAAAATGGACGCCGCTGTCGCTCTATATTATATATGGCATCGAATAATTATTTTTACTACATTTTTGGCAACAGGGGACAGCTTTAGACGCCTGCATTATTTATTCAAAATGTCTCATCAAATTAGTTATCTTCTCATTACATCAAAAAATTGTCACTGTCGAAAATATGTAATAATTTCTAATTTAATTCTACACGTTCGCTACACACGATGTCTTCTATGGGTCGCTTGAAGTGTGGTCGCACTAGCGAAGTTCATCGCGACTTTGCACGAAGTGACGAAGTATTCACGAATATGTGGCCACACACATCGCGATAACGCGAATGTGTATGGCCGCGGCATTACACAAAAATGGACAATGTTTGAGATTTTTTTTATTAACTTTTTTCACATTTGCCTATTTTACTTATTCTGAACCTTCTCTGCAAAGGACAATGGCAGAAAAATAGTTGACAAAAATTATAGCGTCTAGAAATAAGTTATATATAAAATGAGTATTATTATTTTTCTATGATTTTTCAAATAAAAATGTATTTTAATAAAAGCCACAGAAAAAAACAAACATTTTTGGGAATATCAAATGACTCAAATCATTTTATTCTATTCAAATGTTGCCATTTAGTATATTCCTACTATTTTCGTATACACTTTGTAACACCACCAACACAACACACAAAATATTTTTATATTAAGTTATTATTAGTAATAACTGTACTATCAGTAATAACAAAAATAAAAGTAATATGGCTGAGAATAAGTCTCGTACAAAGAATTTCCTACAATAATACATTATCTCAATCATAGTACTATGTAACAATTCCATTTAATGTTATGCCAACACTAGCTAAAATAAAATGTCACTGGTTTTTTATACTGGCTTTACGGCTCTGGGTTCTAGCCCTTCTGAGAATGTCACTATGGTACAAAAGCCCTGGAGCCATGCTAGAAATACACATTTATAGTATGCAAATATATAATAGAGATACAATAATCTAAAAACTCTCAATTATGTATTATGTATTAAGCTAACATCAAACAACCACAGGAAGCATGACTTTTTTCAAGTGACATAGGACATAACCTAAAAAGGTTCAAATGTAAATATCTTTTTTTTGACGCCTTCTCAATACAAAATTCTTTGACAGAGTTATTAAGGGACTGACGCTTAACATTTTAAGATATTTTTGGTATATAGTCGCTACCATTTCTTCTCAACTAATTTTATGTATGAAAATCTGCCATTGCTCTTTGGTCAGTTATTGCAAAATAATCCTGTATATACTGGTCTCAAATAAGCCCTAGAACAGGAAAAAAAGTGTATGTGACATGTCCGCGGAAATGTATAGGTGAATGATATGGTATAGAACCCTATTGCAATATGATTCTTTGAATGATAAATGATAATAAATGTGTGACGTTTTATATTATCACTAGCGATCCGCCCCGACTTCACACGTGTGATTTCTCTATCTTGACTACAGCGCCACCTACCGGGTACAATTGTGATTCTAAAACATCCAGGTACCCACTCAAACACACAAAAAATGTCAACAAAGTCGGTCCAAACGTTTAGGAGAAATTCAGTGACAAACAGAACAATTATATTTTAAATAAAAATATAGTAATGTTAGTAAATAGTAATTTTGTTTACTTTATAAATCTCTAAGGGTGCGTACAGATTAAGTAACATGTTGTGTAACTTTTGTTTTATAACACGTCCACATTATGTAACATTGTTTTTAAACATTGCAACATATAACAATACTGTACACATTAGAATAACAATGCAATATAACAATTTTATATGACATTGTCGTTTGTCGTTCAGCCGTTCGAGTTATATAACATTTGTGTCACCTTATATAACACGTTTTATAACATTCAGCCTCCACTTTACTGAAACATGTTATATAACAACGTTACGATACGGTACGAAACGTTTTATAACATGTTATGTTATATAATGTGTACGCATCGTAACAAAACAAGTTACTAACATGGTTTTATTGTAATGATTTCTTTATACTTATAGGTAAAACCTAATTACTAAATTAGTTTTTTTTTGTATTGACACTAGTATGTTCGGAATTCATTTTCTTGATGTATAGACATATTATGAGTATTATAAAGTTATAAACGATATAAAATTTGGCATGTATAGATAATGTTTCCATGTTTAATTGCAGGTCCCTGTGTATAGTGTTAAATTAACCAAGTAAGGGTCAGTTTACACCGAGATGCTGGATGAGGCCAGTGGTTTGGCATCGCGACGTCGCGAGGCGCATCACAAAGTCGCTGTCGCTGGTAACACACCGCACTTGCACTACCGGTGAAGCACCGTTGCGTGGTGATGCGTCGCGCTACGCCGCGAGACATATCGAGGCGCAGCGCGACGCCGCGGCCCATTTTATAATTATCTCAATAAAATATATATCTTATCGTATAGTAAATAAAGTTATATTTTATTTCACTATCTAAAAAGTGCGCGCCGCGTCGCGTCGCGTCATGTCTCTTTGTGAGCTGACCCTAAGACTATTTATAAAATCTCGAGGTAGGAAAACGAAAACTGCCATGTGCTCGAATTTTTAAAAATTTTAATCCATTATAATAGCAAACTTTGTATGGACTTTTAAAGTAGTTTCTATATTGAATTGAGACATTAGACTAATTATTAGACTAAGAAATTCTAAGAAATATATATAAAATCATACATAACTACAGATACATTATTTGAGAACATTCCAAAAAACTAGTATACTGAGTTGCAGATAGAGATATTTACATAGAAAAGTAGGTTAAAGAATACAAAAATGTCAATATTTAAACTTACTTCAGATATTAAAATATATTTGTTATAATAATTTTGTTAAGTGAAAATTTTTAAGATGCTGTTGCTCATGCATATAAATATTTTATTTCTACACATATAAATATTTTGTTTCTTGTTAGAAGCTATTGTATACGTCTTAAGACTGTAATTTGTTTTGTTCCTGTAAATTAACTGAGCTTAAAAAAGGAAGAGGTTATCAATTAGACTAACTAGTACACCGTAAAACTAACTCTGCAATTATAAAACCCATTTCGCTA